TACGGAGTGACGCCAGTGTTGACAAGAGTGAGAGAGAGAGAGTGAGAGGGGGGGTGAGAGAGAGTAAGGAGGGGGTAGTAAATCACACCCCCTCGTCCCTTACACCCTACCACGCGCCGACAAAGGTGTCCTATTAGAACCCTCGACTACTAATCTCCCGCGTCCGATACAAACCATGGCGATAAAAAATGATCGCGCAAAGCTAATACGACAGATGTTAAGTGCCGGTCCTTCTTTCACCTGAGTGATTTTTTACAGCTTTGTATGACCCTTCTCAGCTGTTGACAGTTGCGATATAAATCTTGGCGTTTGTTATTGAAACTTTTTGTTGGGTCTAATCGACACCAGGTAAATAATATAATTCCGGCTCGTTCGTTGGTTCAACACGGGAAAAATGTTGCGTTAAGATATAAATCTTTGCGTTATCATCGAAACTTTGTATCGAGCTTTTGTTACAGCTTTGACAACAAGAAACAGTAAGCTCTAATTGTTCTTCTGTATGACACTGTATAGTGTTTCGCGTGCATAAAGAATATTGTGGAAAGATAGTTGTACTAAACTGACTCCAAACAAAAAATAAACAAAAACAAATAACAGTAACTAATAAAAATAAAGAGGCCTAATTATTGCTTTAATCTGATGTTTTCATTCATGTTTTGCAACGTGTAATACGATAAGGATAATTAGACACTAGTAAGAATCGCTTAAGCTTTTTGTAGCTATAAATTTTCATACTCGGAATTTTGTGTAGTTGCTAAAGTGAGAATATATTCCATTATGCATAATTTTTTAGTACTCGTTCTAATCTTTGTATTAGCCAAGTTTAACATATTTGACTGTCACAAAGAAAAATCTAATTTTTCTGTTGAATTTAAAACTTTTGTTTTATTCAACGGCAAAAATTTCCCTAACGCATTAAAAAATGTGTATGGATATTTATTTACACACCCATTTTTTCTCATCTTTTCACCCTCTTAAATCTCTCAAGGGATGGATTTTCCGCTCGATTTCCTACGACACTCCTTAAAATGGTCCTTCGAACCGGATAGGAACATAACGCTCGAGCCATACAAAACATTCTATTATGCCTCTTAGGCCGGTTTAATCCAGCCGGCTGGTAACCTACACCGGCGGAACATAATCCTACATGATATGACTGATATGACAGCTGATATGTAGTTTTTATCCTCATATAGGCCTTTTGTGTCCTGCCATACCCTCTTCAACCCGACTTAGTGTCGGATTCGACATGTGTTTGAACTGCCGCGCCCCTCAAACGATATCAAGTACTTGGGATAAGGGCTCCAGGTTGTTTTGATTTCATTTCAGAAGGGCAGAAAATGTCAAGAGTCTCGAGGAAAAATAATTAAAAACTGTTAGAGTAAACTTTGTTTGTTGAATGTAGAAAATTTAGGCTTCAGCGAAGGAAAAAATTGTTTTAGGTTATATATATGAAAATATTATTTAATCAAGGACATGTCATTAGAGCGGTTAAACTATCATTGCTTTTCACAGGATTTACAAATTGTTTACGTGTTTTCATGGATTCCGAACTGAAGAGTTAAACTTAACTTAACCTACATTTTCTTAACCTAAAATCAAGAAGATTGTTACTTTCACGAAGCTAAAAAACTTATACTTTTTATATCTATATTGGCTAAACGATTTACAGCTTTTTGATTAATGTTTACATTCTTAGGATATCTAGAAAATTATACATTGTTTATTCCAATGAATAAACATATTTATAGCATAACACACTACTGTAGAAAATAAATTATAGCAGTTATCTTTAAGTTAGTAATTGTTAGTACAAATGAACATTCTGCCTTACAATGCCAAAAGTTTAAATCAATAACTATTTATCCACTTACAATATCATAACCTGATCTATCATTGTTCTGTCTTACAACAAGTATAACAAGCTAAGGTGTGTTACTTTCTCAAAATATTTTACTTGCAACCACTGCATTTTAGAGGAAATATAAAATGACATAAAATATCAAGAAGTTAATGGAAGCTTATTGTAAACTTTTAAGTCCTCTGTGGTGCATGTTTAAAGTAATAAAATCTTCAGATCTTTGTCGGTTGGTCACGATTCTTAGGCAAGTTTGAACAAAAGTCTGTGAAGTTTTTATGCTAAACTTTGAACTAATTTAAAATATGCGCCGAGCAAAATTTCTGAAATCTCAAGACAACTTTAATTGAGTTAAACTTTTCTTCACCGAGGTTAAATATGTTTCATTCAGAAGACCGGAGGTCTTTTGTACCAAACCAAGGGCACTGTTCAAATTTATAAGTTTACAACAATAGGTTTTGTTGTACTTTGTTAAGTTAGTTTCGTCAATGCGATTTTTGTTGGAAGTTATGTCATTATCTTTCAAATGAACGCAAACTTTAGGTTGAATGATTTTTTTACGTAAAGTAATATGTTCAAGAGAAATACGAGACAATGAATTAAGGTTGATGACTTGAAGCAAGTAATTTTATAATAGGTCTATATTTATAGGAAATGCCCTGGAATCAACCAAAGTATATCGACGTGTTTAGGAATAAGTGGACTCAGATACACTTTGCCTGGCATCTTTTAGCAAGAATTGTAATACTACTGAGAAATACACTACAAAAACCTACGAACATGTATTTTTCTTGGCCTTTAACTGTGAGTTTTAAGAGCGAAATTGAATGACGAAAAACTTTTTTTCCTGCAGGTATTGCTGACTTCACGGCAAGCAAACAAGTTTTATTAGTTGTAAAGTGTGTGATGTTGCACATGGAAGCTGTTTAAGATTATCAAAAACGTATTTAAAAATCAGATAAGCAAATAAGAGGAGACATAGGTCCTCATGCAAGGAACAAAATATGAAATTTTGAATATGAACAACCATCCTTGAATAGTCTATGAAAAGTTATTTCAATTGATATATTAATGTTAAAGTTTAAACATCATTATAAAATCTTACCTAAACCGAAAAACTAATTTAAGGTACACTTAAATTCAACTAATAGATTCAAGCAATTTCGTTAAATTACAAATCATCCTTTAGATAAATCTTTCATTCGACCTTGAAAGTGATAAAACACATGAATCACGTTGAGCTGTATATCGGAGGTGGGTTTTCTGTCAAAGGGTTTATAGCGAGGGAGTATTGGTGGGGGGGGGGGGCGAGCGGAGAGAGGGGGGGGGGTGTTTGGTGCCAAATCCGGGGCTGCGTCTAAGCTTATCACTATCCTGCAAATACTGACTTTTGCGAATGGATGGTTAAGAGCATTTTACTTAGATATTAGAAAAGCTCAACACAAAAGCCGTTTATTACACTGGGTGAAATCGGATGGAAAATGATAAGTTTCATTTGTCTGCAGATTGCGACTTCTTCCGCTTATTAGAGGCAGCCCGTTTCATTATGCTGTTTTGAGTACAGTTACTAAATGAATATGACGTATACTTATTGCAATAAATAGTTGCGTTGCAGAACATCTGACATTACAACTTTGTTTAAGTACATATAACAATTGGGGTCGTCAATAACCTTTTTATAATCTGTGGTCTTATACAAAGCTGAATGTGTCAAATCTAACAATATTTAAAGATTTAATTTTTTTTTTTACATTTTCTGGCATTCTTTTTACATTTAAAATAAATAATGCTATGACAAACCCTGAAAATCCAAAAAATGTTTGGTTAATTTGTTTCAATTTTACACCTTTTTTAACTGATAAACTTACATTTTTCCTGTGCTAATGTATCTTAATATTTTATACTTAAACTTATGAGATAATACAACTTGAGAGCTTATGTCAAGGTCTTAGCCGTACAAAATACCGGGTTTATTTAACTAGTTTACTTTAAAAAGACATTCAAAGTTTACCTAAAATTCGTTTAGTGCTTGGAACAAATTTGATTCACTTTAAAAATTTAATAACTATTAGAGAGTACAATATAAGTCATTTCTTACAACGTATCTAAATGATTGATCACTTTCGAAAACGAGTAATGTACAAACCTAACCGAATAGTAAGTAAAAACTCAACACTTTGAAATGTAAACACAAATTCACCTCGTGAGCAAGACTCATTCACTCAGTATCCACCAAAGTGTATCTTCCACTCAGGATAGTGCATTACCAAGGGTCCTTGCAATCACAAGGGGTTTACATTCAAGGACTCGACTGTTCAATAACAAAGAGTCCTCCAATCCCCTTTCCTCTCCAAGCTTCGAGAAATTCCCGCGACTTTGGCAGCCAATTAATTAATTCTTCAACCACTTAGGTACCAAGCTGCTTTTATTGCCTCTTGTCTGTCCCGTTGTTTTCACTTTAAAGTGATTCAAGCTTTATTGCAATCTTTGCGGGCGACAAGGGTGGTTTTCGTAATCAAAAGACGGTGTTTACAAAACATTCAATTATAACTCCCCTTAATGTGCGGGCCCTTTGTGTTTTAGGACGGAACTTTAATTTCCGCATTCATTAAGTTGGACCTTTGCTTGTGGGTTTGGAACTTCCAAAATGAGGTTGTAATTAATACATTTAGAGTTACTTAAAATAGTCCCTTAAGTTTGCATCTTGTTTGCACGCTTTTATACCTTTTAAATACAGGTGAATGGTAAAAAATCTTTGAATATCCCCACAAACCCTTCTTACGTGATCGGGTTAACTGTATTCACTAACCAATTTAAATTATTATTCTTGATAATATTTATTCCTTCCCTCCCGTTAATGTACATTTTTGCCCTCTTATACAGACATAAAATAATTCTCAAAATTATACTTTTAGATTCTTTGACCAGCAAACACTTATTTTGACGACTCTCTAAATATATTTAGAATATTCTTTAAATGTTTAAAATTATATTCATGCATCAGCACTAGTATATACAGAGGTTGTTACTGTACCGTTCCTACTGGTTCTGGTGTACAAAGCTGAAACGTATATCCCACTGCTCTAGTAATACAGCAAATCTCTTTAATTTAAACTAGTGATGTTCCTTGAGCTTTGCTTACCTAAATCCTCCACTTCACATGGCAATACTAGGGTGTCTCCAATGACTACTCTGTAGGTCTGCCCTCTGGATAGGAACCTTGGGATGGCGTTCGAGATCGGTTCTCGGTCTGAAACAAGAAAAAAAAACTTGTATAGTTTGTTTACCTTAAGGTGCTTTTGAAATCAAATTTATCAATAAAACCTTTTTACTGTTTCTGCAGGGGCTTTGGAAAAGCAGATCAAACCCTAAATTATTTTTTGGTATAACTGGAGTGTTGAACTCATCCCTGTGGCACCTAAGTCCAAGACAATCACTAGGCTAGCAACTCATATTAGAATATTAACCTATAAATTCAAATTTTAATATTCACCGTGTCGAAATAAAGATGAGATACAATACACTTGACCAAACCTTGTCACTTTCCCGTTTTTCTAATCCGTAAACTTTCAAGTAAGCTTTAATTTTCCACTGGCTAAACACGCATAATTTCTTTATCCATTGTGTTACACAGAATTAAAACCAACGGTTATAAATTATCCCAACGTTTCCCAGTGACAATTGAAAATTCCCAACTTAAAACACACATGCATTTGTAATCACTTATCGCATTAAGGCAATTCCAAGCCATCAGATAACTCCTTCATCCAAATCTGTGAGTCAGACCGTGACGATTTTAATTGCAGAAGCGAAGTGCAAAAAGTTAATTGCAAATTTTTGAGCGATAAACAAACACGGCTTCTCGGAGGCAGCCACTAATTATGGTGTAATTATAAACATGTCGGCCAGGCCAGTGCGTTAATGTACTTAGCCGTGATTATAGCTTTGAAGAGCAGGCCGGGAAACGTTAATCCAGTTTAATCTTTGGTTACTTGGGATTTTTCATGTGTACGTATTTTTTATATATTTTATTACACACCTTTTAATGAAGCAAAAGTAGGTTAGGTATTTAAACCTAACCTAAACTAAATTCTTTAAACATTGAAAATAGGATTATGTATACAAGATTACAGGATTACGTACAGGGTACAGGATTATGTATAATATCGTCACTATGAACACACACGATTGGTTATAGAATGAATCACAGCAATAAAATATACAATTTAGAATCTATAGTTGTTTGACAAGAAACAATGAATATATAATTTCATAGGTAATATCCTCATGCCTTGACTTTGGAATATTAATTTTTGGACAATGTAAGAAAAAATTGTCCAAGATTGTGTGGCAATAGACGGTTACATTTTATCACGGTAAAACAACAATTTCGTCTTACCGATTCCCAATTTGAAAATACTACCTATATTCACATTGTTCCTAAAAGAAATCATATTTTAAAAAACAAAAACCATAAAAAGGGATTCGGTAGCTCAAAATCACATGTGAAACATACATTTAAAGAGGAAAATATTGCAACAGAATCACTACATAAAGCATTACACCATGTATCAGTTTAAAGTGACAAGTCCTAAGACAAATAACATATTAAACTACTGGTTGGACTAAAATGTAATGGAACCTCTATTCCAAGTGCTAGATATTCAGTTATGTTCCACTTAGATCTCTCTCACACCTACAGATATGAATATTTCATTGCGAGTCCAGAATCAAACCCTTACTCGACTCGGGTCGCCCTTCGAATTGATTCTGGGATAAACGAGCCGAATTAATTTGCAGCTTCAATTCCGCCAGATTTGCGTCTTTGTTTCGTCGATAAAGAATTTAAATTGGTTTAAATCGGGAACTGAATAAAAGAGGCTCGCTTTGTTTAGACCTCATTTGTCCCCAGCGTTCTAAGTTTCAGTGAGGCGGATCGCTGAGTGTAGTTTGTTAACAGATTGACCTAGTCGTTACAAAGTTTATTAAATCAGTAATTATAAAATAAAAATACTTAGAACTAATAAATAATTTAAACTTAAAAACAATAACTAATGCTTATTTAGTAACCATAATATTATTCGTATCCGTTAAGTATTCGTATCCATTTCTGTATATGTTGCTCGAAAGATCTTATCATATTTTAGCTTTTCCATTGGTATCAGTATTCTTTAGATATTCATAGTAATTAAACTTTATCACTATCATTAATTTATTCACTGCACGGTTATATTATTCTTTAAATTAGGTATCATATACAAAATTAGTTACCGGCTTGCTAATACAGTTAAACATCTGATTAAAACTATACAACTTGAATGAGATCGTTGAACACCCTTCCGATGCGAGAACGCCGCTATGATAATGTCTCGAGTCGGACATAGTGTTTAAGCCTTTGACTAAAGTATTGTTGGCTGTGTAGTGTGTATGTGTGTGCGTACGAACGATTTGTTTAAAGTCATGTATGAGTTGCATTGTGCCTGAGGAATTGATGTTCATAGTATATTACTGCAATTTCATTAATGTTTAATTTGGAGTCCTATTTAAACTTGTGGTTAATATGTTCCATTAAATTTCATTTTGTTTCAAGCACTTAAGTCAAACATAGCACGATTTATCAGCCATCAGATCTCCTATGTTATTGAATTTACATATTATATGACTTTAAAACTAAAATGTGGTATTAAAAAATAATACATAAACCAAAAAACGTCACAGAAGGCTTAACGCGTGTCAAAGTGTTTAAAATATTGCGTTATATACTCTAATAGTATTATTTTATTCAACACTTACAGAAAAAGTCCAACACGACAAAATGTTCCATAATCTAAACTAATCTTGGATATATTTTGTAAATAAACGCGAGTCATTCCAAAGCAGTTATTCAACGCCTAACACCCATTAGCATTTTCACGACACTTTGTCGCAACTGGAAGCTGAAAAAGAGTTGTTTTTGGCGGGTCGCATTACATATTCCTCGCACGAAGCCGCGGTCGTGTCCGTGGACAACGTGTTAAGGTTCGCACCTGAGGCGGTCGTGATGGAAGTTGCACGACGTCCAGGTGGCTGGGGGGAGGGGGTAGAGATCTCGGAGCCGATAGAGCCAGAGTCTGCCACCGAAGTAATTGAAACCCCTAGAGGTCGCTGGAAGAAGAGTTTAAGTCGTGGCGACTTTTTACTATCGTGTCCCACTTTGACATCCTAGCATGTTAGGCTCCAGTCCGAAACCTTTGTACGGATTGTTCCGATGTATATCTAGAAGGTCACGCCAATATCAATTGGATAACATCCATTGGTGATTGGCGGGATTTGAAACCAAGGACTTAGGGTCTGTCGACTCTATTCTACCATGAAACTAACTTGTTCCTCCACGCTGGTGGAGAAAGTGGTGACTAATTAGAGGAGATTAGGAAAAATTAGATAATCTTGGACATTTAATGCGCCAACATGTTTATCCAACACATGTATTATGTTTTGAACATTTTAGCATGTATGCGATTAACACTTGTAAATATTCGTACTATACTTTTCAGTGGTTAGATGTTTTGTTAAACTGTGGAGACTTCTTCTAGTCGTTTCTAATTTAATGGTTAGTCTTAAATAATTTAATAAATATGAATATATATATTTTGTTATTAACTTATACAGCACCAGTCTTAGTTTAAGGTAAATAACGACCTAAAGGGGATTTGTTTATAAATATTTTACTATATCTATATAAGCAAGTATTAATTTTAGAAAGGTAATAAAAAGAAGGTGACATCAAAATGTTATGTAAACTGGTGAAAATACATAATTTTAATTACAAATTTTTGACGTAACTACTACAATAAACTCGTACTAACTTTTATAGTACATTAACATTCTAACATACTTTATTTTGGAAACTAATACTTGTTGTTATATAATTTTCTTTTTCGGATCACTGTTCAACCTCTTTAATGTGATATTATTTGCATATTTAATATATAACGTAAGGTCCTTCTTCTTATAAGGTTTTTTTACTGTTAAGTTCACTCACAGTGCTACACCCCATTATTTTACATTGTGTCAATGGTAAAAATTGCGTTATTTATGTACATTAAATATACTGACCGTGAGTTAATCCACTATAAAATAACCAACCATGGCAGTTAAATAACAAGAATGATTACCTATGTGTATAACTATATTCGTAAAACATACCTCATAATGTTACATTAATTAGCTAAAACAATGTTCACATAAACAAAGACTAAGAATGATGTAATAATAACGAATGATGCTACAATTCCATAGCGCATTCTCATAGTAATTACACCCATCTATCTGAAGTAATTGAACAGTGAACTTGAAAAGAAACGAGAAAAGTACAATGAGGCTTTGATGAAAAATCTAACCTTTATGGGAATTACACTAGTGGTTCTGGGACTTCCAATGCTAATGGTAACAATGCACATAGCCATAGGGTAATTGTTTTCACTACTGTATGAGTGTTTATTGATGTGATTGAAAGCTAATTTGCAATTCTAATGGAAACGGTTTTGCCCTTTGTCGCAGCTACTGCATTGCATTTGAATCTGTTAACAATGTCCCAGGTTTATTTACGCTTCCAATTACCTTTGTTATTGGCCTAATTAAGGATTTAAGCAATTAAGTTTTATTTTAATTTTACTTTATTACTCTTTAAAACCCATAATTTTAGATTATAATTATTTTTGGAAAAAATAAATATTACTGGTAATTGTTTTGATGCAATAGTTGCTATAAAATTCAACATTGTTGTTATTGTAAAAGATTTTTTCATTACACTGTCTCAAAAACAGCTGTCTTACGGATCGTTTTGAGTCCCTAAAAATAGCTTTTTGCGAACTAGTCCGTAAACTTGTATGGACTCAAATCATATGGTTATGTCAAAGCTTATATCAAAAACAAATCAGCTGTTCTGATCCTTTAAAATGCTTCAACAATAAATAAACAAACTTTGTTTGTTTCAAATAAACGTTCCTTTTTAATCAAACGGCTTTGGATATATTTGGTATTTTCTGCTATAATATATGACAATTGAATGACAAATATTGATCGTAACTCGTCTTAAAATCCTTTTTTGTGACTTAATCGGATTTCCGGACTCGGTAAAGCCTCGTCCGTCAAACACGATATCGTCTTAAAAAAGCCTACTTTAGGGACTAGTATCAAAAACTACTATTTCATTACAGGTTTAAATTATTGAATTACTTCGTTAAAACGTATGATAATGATGATAAATAA